TTGATCTTTGTTTACAAAGCAGTAGATCATATCTAATCAACGATATTAAATACCCTAGATGCACCACGAGCGCTCAAAATGTGTCCCAATCAAGAAGTGCTTGAACTCCACTCAAGCACTTCTTGGTTTACAGTCACGCGCGGACCGTTACAAAGACAAGATGCCACGGAGCTCTGCGAAAAAATGCGAAAATAATACTTAAAGTACGAAAAGTGTCATTTTTTCGACAGGGATCTAGTCAATATTTGTTAATTTAACGCATTTGAAATAAATTTTTGATCTCGTACTTACTATAAACTGATTTAATATAAAATATTTGTGATATTCAAATGCACGGTCGGTAATACGTCGCCTAATAGCCGTCTCTTTTACTCGCGGTCCGTGCCTACTATATTGCTAACAGCGCGTTCAAAATTGCGCGTAGAGTCAAAGAACTAAGGTCTAAATTCTTCCGCATATAGCAATAAGTCCTAAAATTTTACGAGCTTGCATTTCGAACTGTCAGAAGTCCTTGACGCATGCGATTTATTTAAGACCTTATACAGTATGTATTAAAGGTTACTTTCAATATTTAAATAATGCCTAATATTGATTTTGACTACGCGATCATCCTACGGAGCTCCGTGGATCGTCCAGTGTACCTTTTGGACAGGTTCCGGGCCCGATTTTGTTCGTGTTGGTGTATCTAGGTATTTAATATCGTTGTATCTAATACATAAACTTCTCGTGTCACGGTGTGCGTAATTGAACTCCTTCGAAACGGCTCGACCGATTTTAGTGAAATTTTATATGCATTTTCAGTAGGTCTGAGAATCGGATAACATACAATACAATACAATACACAATTCTTTATTGAAAACACCACAGTATAGTACATAAATGGGGTAAATACATTATGTTTAAACATAGTGATTCAATGGGCGGTCTTATCGCTAAAAGCGATTTCTTCCAGACAACCTTTGGATGGAGAGGATTGAAAGAAACTGGAATCGGTGGTGTTATAAAAAAAATAAAAATAAAAACAAGGGATATAAAAATGTATATAACTATATATTTTAAATATATGTACATACCATACATACATAATATATACACATAATATAACTATAAGATATATACATATAATACAAATATATGACACATACATACATAGACTACATATATATAAGTTTAGTCCAGTCAGAAAACATCTATTTTTCATCCCTCTAAATGTTAAGGGTGGTTAATTTTACCATTAATTTTTTTATTATGGACATCATCATCATAAAAAAAATACATACAACCTTAAATTTTCACCTTTCCACCACCCATATTTTTATGGCGATACGAAGTTCGCTGGCTCAGCTAGTTTTAGATAAAATGCGAATGGTACCTAGAATTTCGAAATAGAAAGGTAGGGCTCAGTGATTTTCGGCTTTAATTGGAGCGCCCATATGTGGAAGTAAAACCTCCACCTTACCACAATACATACAAGAGCAGTACTCCGACTTCATATTAGCGCCCGAATCGACGCACGCACACAGACAAACGTCATTTACACGGCCGCTAACCAATCTTGACAAGACAAATCTACGCAGTGCCACGTCGCGCGCCGCCGAAACTGGTCGTTGGCCGACCGCGCCGTCTGCGTCCGTTTCAATTCCGTAATGTGGCAATAGTAACTATACACATGCAATAAAAATCTACACAAATATGTTTTACATTTTGTAAGTATCAACCCTAGCGCTCCGCTCAGTCGTAGGTATTTGTTTGAAGAAAACGGCTGAGTTACGCTACTGCTCTTGTGACCTTACAGAAGATAACAGTAAAACAACACTACCTATTTGTCTTGTGTGGCTGCACCGGGTAGGCGATTGGTTTAGGCGTTTTGCAGACGACGGGGCGGGGCGGGCATATTGTCCGCGAAGCAATAAAAACCGTGTCTGCCCGTCGATGTATGCGGCTGCCCGCGCCGCGTACACAAAGCACACGACGGACAGAGGCAGTCAGTTCAGGACGTTCGTTCTCGTGAATAGTCCATCACTAAAAAGCGCGTGGCGCGGACTGAGCTGACCGCCCCGCGCCGCCGTCTGCGTTACTGCATATAAACTGGTTTGTATGCCGCGGACATGCCTAGTCGCCAGTGCCCGCCGGGCACCTGCGGCGCGGTCTTTTTGCCCTCTGTGTGCGTTTGTAGTATAGGATTCACTTTGTGCTATCGTTCGTGGCGAAATTGACCGGCCCGCCCCGCCCCGTCGTCTGCAAAGCGCCTTAGGGTAGGCAACGGCGCAAGCGATATTTTTTATATCGCAAGCGTCTATAAGCTATGGTGGCCCCTTACCATAATGAGCTCATTCCACTTGACTAAATTCAGACGTTCTAAATCATTCAGGAACTAATTCAGTCAAGTGAAATAGCATTTAGGAAATTAAGATCCTAATTAGCAACCTAATTCGGAAGAAGTGTGGCTTCTGAGTGTCTAAATCATTTAGTATCTTAATTAGAACGCGATTTAGGAAGGCTTATGGAATAGCGTTTAGATGCTTCAGTCGCACCGCAGGTGTCACTGCGTGAGGACGTGTTCTGTCTACGATTACGAATTACGCGAGTGTCCGATGTCGGCGGTAAAAGAAAAAGAAGTTATGAGTAACATAATTGAATTGTATAAACATATGCCGTATCTTTGGAACAAAAACGATAAAAATAACATTAACAATATTAATATTCTTCCATACACGTTTTTCGTTTTTTACTTTATTTTATTTATATATTTATTGAGCCAACGGCCAGGCCTACAAGAAGCCAGATTTTTTGTTGCTTTGACAGGGCTAGAGCAATTACGGAAAAGTCCGACAAAATTCGCCGCGCGCTTGTAACTGACTAATTCAGTAACTAAATTAGTTAAGTGTAATCAGAAGCTTCTAATTAGCCTTTTCTTTAGGACTCTAACTAGGACGTCTGAATTTAGTCAGGTGGAATAAGCGCTTAAGGCGGGGCATATGCTTGTTTGTCACTCTTATAACTAAAAATTATATATATTTATAACAGGGGTATTCACACATTGGGAAGACGGTGTCCGCGGTCGCACAAAGCCTTACAACTTGTCTAACGTGAAAACACCAGTGTCACTGTGGTACGGAATCAATGACCAGCTAACGGAAATGTCTGTGAGTAGAAAAATAAAAACTTGAAGAAATTAATATGTCACTGCGGAATTTTAACCTTGGCGCGTGGATAAATCAAATACTTATCAATGTCTAATCTTGTTTTGATATGTGATTACTAAGGCGTCCTTTAGACGCTAATGCAGCCGGTAGTTTATTTTATAAGTCATAATAGTTACATAAATGATGAAAAACGGATGACGACTAAAAAGTGATCGGTCAAACCGTTAGGCGCAGCGCACACCGCTAAAGGCGAGGCGATAATACTGAGAAGGTAAACATTTAATTTTAACCCTTTTTCCTACATCACAGATTTAAAAAATTCATAGCAAACAAAGAACAATCAATCACGCTCAAAGTCGCTGCGCGCCGCTCTGCGGCTCTAGATCGCGCTCAAAGTCGCCGCGCACCGCTCCGTGGCTCTAGGTCGCGCTCAAAGTCGCCGCGCGCAGCTCCGTAGCTCGAGGTCAAGCTCAAAGTCACCGTGTTCCGCTCCGTGGCTCTAGGTCGCGCTCAAAGATGCCGCGCGCCGCTCCATGGCTCTAGGCCGCGCTCAAAGTCGCCGCGTTCCGCTCCGTGGCTCTAGGCCGCGCTCAAAGATGCCGCGCGCCGCTCCATGGCTCTAGGCCGCGCTCAAAGTCGCTGCGTTCCGCTCCGTGGCTCTAGGCCGCGCTCAAAGATGCCGCCCGCCGCTCCATGGTTCTAGGTCGTGCTCAAAGTCGCCGCATGCCGCTCCGTGGCTCTGGGCCGCGCTCAAAGTCGCCGCACGCCACTCCATGGCTCTAGGCCGCACTCAAAGTCGCGGCGTTCCGCTCCGTGGCTCTAGGCCGCGCTCAAAGTCGCCACGCACCGCTCCGTGGCTCTAGGCCGCGCTCAAAGATGCCGCCCGCCGCTCCATGGTTCTAGGTCGTGCTCAAAGTCGCCGCATGCCGCTCCGTGGCTCTGGGCCGCGCTCAAAGTCGCCACGCACCGCTCCGTGGCTCTAGGCCGCGCTCAAAGTCGCCACGCACCGCTCCGTGGCTCTAGGCCGCGCTTAAAGTCGCCGCGCGCCGCTTCGTTGGACTAGACCGCGCTCGGAGTCACCGCGCGTAGTATCTTCGCTGCGCCTTACACGACAGGTTATCCGTCAGTCAGAATCGTGGCTGCTAGACAGTGTGCATCAACACGACTGATTTTAGAAATCTTCTCATGAATTGACGAATAAATTAATTCTTTTCCAGCAAATCCAGCGCCTTGCTCGCGAACTCAACGAAACAGGAACCCTGCACTCCATAACCGCTGTACCGTCATGTGAGAAGTTCAACCATATGGACTTTATATACGCCAAGGACGTCGGCAAACTGCTCAACGTACCCCTGGTTGCTCACATCCAGGAGTTGTTCAACCAGTATGACAAATAAAGTATGAAAAAAAAACCATAACGCTTCATTCATTTTGACGACCTCCGTGGCCAAGTGGTTTGTTCCCCAGTTTGGTCGCCGACTCGAGAGGTCCCGGGTTCGAATTCCAGTGGGGGCAGATGTTTGTGTGATGAATACGAGCATTTGTACTCCAGTCATGGATGTTTAATAAGTATTTCTATATAAATATACTTAAGTATGTACAGTATATGTATTCTATCCGTTACCCTAGTATCCCATAACACAAGCCTTACAGTGCTTACTCTGGGGTTAGGCTGATTGGTGTGAGTGTTGGATATATTAATTTATATATTTAAAATGTTCTGTTTCGCACCACCTTCGAAGATTTTTGCTACAATAAGTAATCATGGACTGGTAAATAATGCCACGGTAAAAGGTCACCATAGTACATTGATTGATATAGAATTAAGTCCAAACATTTCAACAAATGACTCACCTTATCGTCCGGATATCTTTCTGCCAGCATCCCCATGCCGGACACGGAGGAACAAGACGAACCGATGCCTTGCAGAGCTCTCGCCACGAATAAAACACCGTACGAGCGGCCAAACGCGAATACTAGACACAAAAAGAAATATACATAACAAAAAATATATATAGATCCGCGTGGAATTTTTTCTAGTTATATTTTCTTTAGATTTAAACATCAAGCAGCAAGCATTACATGCTTTAAGAAAAAATATAACTATAATTGCTATTTCTTCTTTCAAATGTTTAATACTTGTAAAAGTATTCATTTGACATTGTGGGTTACCTATAATGCGAAGAGATGGCGCTGCCTTGCAGCTTAAGAATGGCTAGAGGAATTTCGACGCGGTCCGTGAGGGCCGCGGTAGCATAATTGGTCAGTGCATTCGCCCGGATTGCGAAGGGTGCGGGTTCGAGTCCCTTCTGCTGCCTGGTCCGCGTGGATTTTTTTCTAGTTATATTTTCTTTAGATTTTGACATCAAGCAGTTACATGCTTTAAAAAATATATATAAATATATATCTATATAGATGCCTAATTTCATAACTTTTTACAGAAGATTTCCGTAAAATAACACTAACTAGGGGATTAGGTCGGAGTTGACAATCAAAATGCATCGCAAGCGTCATCATCATCAACCTATTAACGACCCCACTGCTGGGGCACAGGCCTTCCATATGGATGGAATAGGGAGATTGGTCCATGACCCACCACGCGGGCCCAGTGTGGATTGGCGGGTGCTAACGACTGTAGATGCAGCCGGACCAACGGCTGAAGCAGGGAGGTACTCGAGATAGAAGATTTTTGGTCACCCATCCAATGACCGATCACTGCGAAAGTTGCTTAACTTCTGCTTGTCTAGCTTACCACCTGCGCCATGGAGCTCCTCCGCCATCGAGTTCCTCGCTTACCAGGTAGGCCAAATGCCTGTTTGCCACCCATTTGCATCCTTTTAATAAAAAAAAAGTTGTCTTTAAAATTGAATACTCACTTAATGTTGACAGGAACATGAGTATAAAACCGGTGAACATGGGCACACTGTACCCGATCCTGAAACAATACAATATACGATTCAAATTTAGCGGGGCTACGAGCATATTCTGTGCTAAGAGCATTACTACGACACTTCGATTCACTACGAGCCTGGTACAGCCGTGTCATTCTCTAAATTTTTTCATCTTTAGCAGATGAGCTACTTTAGTTGCCTTATAATTTGACTTTAGAGGGGACTTTGAGGAGCAACGAACCCAAAATTCCTGATGAACAAAAAAAACAGGTTTTCTCACAACTTCGATGTTTTCTTACATGACGATAAGACTTTTAGTTTCCTACAAAGTGGTTTTTTGTCCAAAATTCCTAATTAACCGAATATTAAAGAAACTACAGGAGAACCCACTTTAAAACAGTACCAAGGGTGCCGTAGAGATGGTTGATTAAATGTACTCTAGAATGTGTGTCAACCGGAAAACTAAAAGATGGCCGCCATGCATTTTTATAATATGTTTGGCCTGGCTACTGTCATTGTTATGCTATTTACCTGTCGAACAACTTGAGAAATAGAAAGAAGTCAACAACTTCGGTGCGATTTTTTCATGAAGATTGGAGATCTTTTTGACTAATTTATTTGACTAATAAATAATTTATTTAATATTTTAATAAATTGATTTATTTTGACTAATGGGGCCGTGACTGCGGACGTGCCATCAAGGTCATGATTAAAAATATTCTTGGTGACCCTGGTCTTCAGACCCTGAAATTCGTGTTCATTCTGTGAGTAGTGTGAGCAAAATCTGTTACTTATGTCACGGTAATATTATATACAGTATGAAGATACTTCATACAAACGGTTGGAAAGCGAATCATACCTACGCCACTCGAGTTCGCGGGACTCTCGGGGGACACCGAGTCGAGAATGCGCCGCAGCGACGACCGAACGGTGTGAATTGTTTTTTATGCAGTTAGCCGTGCTTAAACGTGCGATTTGTATTGTAAATATTTGATTGAACTAAGTAGATACCTACATAATTTAATATGGCAAAGAACAAACGACGATATTGTGCTGTTTTTGGTTGCTTGAACTCTTCCATAACGCACCCAGAGATATAATTTTTTAAATTACCTGAAATATTGGAAGGGTAAGACTATACAATATTTTTGAAGTTATACTTCTTTAGGCGCGTTATGAAAAAATTATGAGAGTGAAATTTTAAGATGCGCGCGCATCACTGTAACACAAAAGATTAACAGCATGAAGTTGGTCGCTTTAGCGACCAACTTCATGCTGTTACTTTTGTGTTTACCGCACATTAAGAAAATCTACCGCTAGTCTACATTAAGAAAATCTACCGTAGTCGCTTTAGCGACCAACTTCATGCTGTTACTTTTGTGTTTACCGCACATTAAGAAAATCTACCAACAAAATAGAAATAGAATCTCTATTTAGTGGATGCTAACGACTGCATTGTAAAGGCCTATCAAAAGTATTTATTAATCTAGAATAACGGAACCAAAGCGCGATTCAGGAGACTACAGCGCCATCTCTTGACCATTGGTGTAATAGAACCAAAAACCACATCTTTATTTTTTGTAATAAAGTAACAGTTATAGGTATTCATATTTATAATATCAAAAGTATTTATTAATCTGGAACAACGGAACCAAAGCGCGATTCAGGAGACTACAGCGCCATCTCTTGACCATTGGTGTAGTAGAACCAAAAACCACATCTTTATTTTTTGTAATAAAGTAACAGTTATAGGTATTCATATTTATAATATCAAAAGTATTTATTAATCTGGAACAACGGAACCAAAGCGCGATTCAGGAGACTACAGCGCCATCTCTTGACCATTGGTGTAGTAGAACCAAAAACCACATCTTTATTTTTTGTAATAAAGTAACAGTTATAGGTATTCATATTTATAATATTTATTCACATGTTTCTAGTTTGTATATTCGGAAAACGTGTTTGAGTTTCATACAAGTGCAAATCACATATGTTCTAATAAATTATATTCAGTGGCGATTTTAATTGAATATTTTGATTATTTATTTATTTTTCAAAATTAAAACTGAACTTTATTGAATGTGTCCTTTTCCAGACTTTTTATTAATTTATTGTAATTAATTATTTGCATGCAATTAAAAACTAATTTTAAACGATGCCAAAGAAGGATAACTTCTCACGCGCCTACATAAGTACACGCACCCATTTTTTTTATATACCTACCGCTCGGCCGTAGGTAGTTATTTCAAGGACAGGGCCCATTCACAATACTGTATAGATAATATTACCGTGCTTATGTCCTTCGAAGGCTCGTAGGATGACAAAACATCGATGCATTGAATGCAAAAATGCCATTTGTGTATCGCACAATATTGACATAATTATACAGTGGTGGTCATATAATTATATTAATAATACAAAGCCAATACGACCTCCGTGGCCGAGTGGTTTGTACGCCGGGTTTCATGGCTGTCGCCGTCTCGAGAGGTCCCGAGTTCGAATTCCGGTGGGGGCAGATGTTTGTGTGATCAATACGAGCATTTGTACTCCAGTCATGGATGTTTAATATGTATTTATATAAATATACTTATGTATGTACAGTATATGTATTCTATCCGTTGCCCTAGCATCCCATAACACAAGCCTTTATAGTGTTTACTTTGGGTCTAGGCTAATTGGTGTGTTTAAAAAAAAAACATGTTTTGACCATAATTTCAGTGCATGGTTCTTTTCTCAGGATACTCTGTTAGTGTTGTAGAATACTGTTATGACCGATCTGCATTATGGATATTGTTTCGGCGAAATAATGTACTGCGGCGATCTACCCTGAAGGGATAGGCCCTGGGAGCGTAGTTTTATCAAATGGCAAACAACTAATATGATTTAACTCTTTTATTTTATTAGTAATGAAGGCGAATATAATAATAGGGATGATGACTATTTTTTTTTCTTCGTTTATCAGGTAGATAATCAAAAAGTATTGGATACGTATTTTTTCTTTTTTCACATAATTATAAACATTGCAGAGATATATTGATTAGAAAAGTCGCATGACGTCACGTTTTGGTACACTTTTAAGTGAAAATTCACTAAAATATGACGTCACGAGCCCCTACTCCCAAACTTTGACGCGCTATAACTTTATCTTTTTCTGGTTGATTGCCCAAAGAAAAAATAGGTGTCCATTATTTTTTGATCATCTCACTGACGGACTGAATAGAATTTCGTTTACTGTACGCCGTCATCACCCCTATTATAGCTGAATATAGAGCCGTTTGCTGTGGTGCCTGATTTCCATCTGCTGGAATCTTCTATCAAACGACAGAAGATTCCCAATTTCAAATCTTTAAAAATCATATCGTTACCTTTTTAATTTCTTTGCGTCAATTGGTAGTGATGGATGTGCGTTACCTACAAAACCTCCTGCGGGCAAACCCAGCGGGTCATATAGAGTTCATTCTTTCTTTCTGTCGCAAACTGATCCTAGAGAAATTTTTAAAATTATCCGTAACCTAAAAAATAAGTATAGTTTTGGATATGACGACATTCCTCCAATACTTATAAAAAATGTGCATTAGAATTAGCGGAACCATTATCAGTGCTTATAAACCAGTCTTTCTCGGAGGGAAAGTTTCCGGACTTATTAAAAACTGCAGTGATCAAACCCCTGTATAAAAAGGATGTAAACAAGACATAAACAACTACAGACCTATAGCACTCCTTCCAACCTTTACAAAAGTATTCGAGGCAGCGATGTCAAAGCGCCTCTACAAATATTGCGAAATATTTAAAATATTTAGTGAGTTTCAAAACGGATTTAGAAAACAACGTTCGACTACCGATGCTGTTTTTAGGTATATTAAAGAAATAAATAAAATAATTGACAGTAAACAATACACCATAGGACTATTATTAGACATGAGCAAGGCTTATGATCGGGTTGATTATCAAAATACTCTTACAAAAACTGTATGATATTGGAATTCGCGGAATAATTGTTCATGATTGGTTTGCTTCGTACCTTACAGATAGGAAACAATACGTACAAGTTCGACATTACGATTTTGAAAACGGAAAAATTAATCTTCATCAAAATTGGATGTTACAAAATCCATACCTCAAGGGAGCGTTCTAGGATGTATATTTCTAATTTACATCAATGATTTGCCTAACTCAATAAATACTCCTTGCACTTTGTTTGCGGATGACATCTCAGTCATTTTTCCTTGCCACAATATAGAAGAACTAAATTATCACTTGGAAAAGACGATTTCTGATATAATAAACTGGCTTAACGATCACAACTTAAAAATTAACTTTACAAAAACAAAATTAATGCAATTCAAACCTTATGAAAAACAACCTCTAAATATATTTTTTTCTTTTAGCGGTCATAATCTAGAATGCGTAATAAAATATCCTCTTCTAGGTATTGAAATCGACCATCTGTCAAAACTTAGCTTAAAATTGTCCAGATTTACTTATGCCTTAAACGAGCTCAAAAAAGTCATCAATAAAGAGACTGCATTAAGCGCTTACTATGGATATGCACATGCCTGGCTTCAGTACGGTATAGTTCTATGGGGAAACTCAACATCTGTTCTATCAATATTTACATTGCAAAAAGGTGCATTCGGATAATTGCAAATATAGACAACTTGGAAAGCTGCAGACCTTATTTCATACAGTACAAGGTATTAACGGTAACATGTATTTATATTTTGGAGGTGTGTAATTATGTTAAAAATCATTTAAAAGAATTTCCTACTTACTCGCGCCCGCATAACTTACGTCCCCATAGCAAATTGGCCCAACCAATATTTAAACTCAAATTGGTCCAAAGTAGCCCTTTTGCAATGTGTGTCAAAATATACAACAGATTGCCATTATCTTTAAAAAATGAGAGTTGTCTTACTGGATTTAAAAACAAATTGAAAAAGCTCCTTTGTTCAAAGGGGTATACACTGCAGGAGTATTTTAATGACAAAGAATTAAAATGATGATTTTTAGATTTTTATTGTGATATAATTTATTTAATAATATAATGGTATCGATTCTGGCATGATTCTCTTAATCTAAACTTAAATTTGACAACAGTGTATCCTTGTCATAGTCCGTACAACATGAAAAGGAGAGACTGATCTTAAATTTAGTTTTAAGTTTAGATAATCATGCCAGAATCGAAACCAATGTGTAATTTATTTAATGCAATTTTTATGACATAGAATTTTATTAATTTTAAGATTTTTAATTTTGTAAGATTTTTGATGAGTTTTAAATTTATATTTATTTATTAAAAATTTAACAAGCTCTTTAAAGCACATTGCTATGCCCTAGCTGGGTTCGTGTAAGGATCTAAATGAACGCTTTGTAACACCTCTGTACAACTACATGAAAAAGCAATAAATATGATTATGATTATGAATATAACTGCCAGCCGTAGGCATTACATGAACAAAGAGTTTACCCAAACAAGGAGACTGTAACGCAACGGACGTTACAGTACCTTCTTATTTGTCTACTTATTAAATTATAAGAACTGCTAAAGCTGCCGGAATTCTGACAAATAAATAAGCGCGAAAATATTTTTTCTTTTTTCCATCATTTTCAAAATGGAAGGCGATGTTTGTCATTACTATTTTTATTGCATTTTCGCGCTATTATTGTTAGAATATACGTATTATGCAATATGTTTTTATTAAAATGGGAAAAAATAAATCCTGCGACTCTACTGCTGGAGAAATAATAATAAACCTACGTGCTTGTAATTGGTCGTATAAAAAAAATACTGAAAACTTGCTCATAAACAATGCTGTACCAAGCTGTGGAATATTTTAATAAACTTATATTTTTAATTATACATAATTATAATTTCTATACGGAGCCAATCGAATCGATTGCAGCCTTAAAACTCAAAATCCGTGATGTGAATAACGAAATAGTCCCGCCATTTTGCCAAACAATGATTAAAAACTTTGATGAAAGAATCGACATTTGTCAGCGTGCTCGTGGTGGACATTTGCGAGATATCATTTTTCATTCATAATTGCCGAACTTTTGTCTTTGTAATTCATACAAATAATCTTCATCTAAATTTTATGTTTTATTTTGTTTTAGAAAACAAAGTTCTTGATGAAAAACCCTATATAAGCATGTAACTGCTAGGGTGTTTAAATTTAAAGAAAATTGTACTGGAAAAAATTCCATGCGGACCAGGCGGCAGACGGGGCAGGGCCGCGGTAGCATATTGGTCAGTGCATTCGCCCGGATAGCGTAGGGTACTGCTTCGAGTTCCGTTTGCTACCTGGTCCGCGTGGATCTTTTTCTAGTAAAATTTTCTTTAGACTTTAATACACATCAGACAACTTCGAATATCTACCGCAAACCCAAAGCAAGAAGAACATCTCCAAGGCAGGATTTAAAGAAGCTTATTTTGTGGCGTAAGATGATCGGTGATGTAAATAGGTTTGGATGGACCATCCAGTCCTGCATCAGCTGTTGTTAGGGTTCATCTGACGCGGACTCTTGTAAGCATATCGGACTTACGCTTTTTTGTGTAAATCTCAAGTGATTTTGAGTGTGTATGCTGTTGGTCACAGATGACCTTACAGCGTAATCGGGATTGGGGACAGTGAGATCCTAAGGGGACCTCAAGCCGAGAAATGGCGAACGCCTCTAGATTCTCCTCTCCGTCTGGAGCCTCTAGATCACGCGAAACTTACGCTTTTTGTGTAAATCTCAATGCTTTCTGAGTGTGTATTCTGTTGGCCGCAGATGACCTTTACAGCGGAATTGGGACTGGGTACAGCGAGACCCTAAGGAGACCTCAAGCCGAGAAATGGCGAACGCCTCTAGACTCTCCTCTCTGTCTGGAGCCTCTAGACCATTCGAATCTGAGGACCCCCTCGGCTCAACTAAAAGGTCGTCTCTTAGGCCCGTATTATAGAAAGATTTTCAGTGATTGATCTAGTCTTGAGCATAGTTAGAAAGGGATGTCGCTATATATAGCACATAGCGACATCCCTTTCTAACTGTACTCAAGTAAAGATCAACACTTAGTTGTCATTCTGTAATACGGGCCTTAGACTCGGACCTCGGCAATTAGAAGCTGTCGTGTGCACCGCACACCTTGTACCATAGGTAAAGTCATCTCTGGTTTTATCATATAACTTACTTGTGTGTAAGTGGTCCTACGAAGGGGTTGGCTAAGAGCTGCACAATCGCCTTGCTGGCGAACATCACGCCCACCGCGACCGTCTCGTGGATCAGCTCCTGGTGTCTCACCTCCTTCTCAGCCGTTATGTTTACTGAAAATAAACCAATTCTTTATTTAGTAGCAAGAATGTTTCCAAAATTCTAATAATGTTCAACATTATAAAGTAAATAGTAACAGATTCACAATGTGTCACATCGTCCAGGGGCCATTCGCCTAACCGAAATTCTTTGGAAAACGCTAACGCTTTCGATTTTATTTTGTTATTTCTGAACGCCGAAAATTTTCAAATACCTCACGCTCATTTTTTTTAATATTGTTATTACCAATGCAAAAGAAAAAAAAAGAGCGCGAGGCATTTGAAAACCTCAGGCGGCTAGAAATAACAAAATGAAATCGTAAGCGTTAGCATTTTCCAAAGCATTTCCGTTAGGCAAATGGCCCCTAGGGACGTGGACAGAGGCGTGTAAGAGCGTATGTCGTACAGGAACACTCACCGAGCAAACACTAAATATACAGTCAGTTTCCCCGACTAGATTCGACAAAACATTAAACTGTATATTTTCCTGCACCGTTTTTATCACGCTCAGTTGTCAAATTCCTAAGGAGTTCGACAGTTAAATGCTATAAAAAACGTGCTATAACGTAAATTGAGGTGCTCATGCTGGGGCGACTAACTCGATCCGATTAAGCACTAAATTATCAATTGCCCTGACTGACGTACTCACCATGCGTTACGTTCTCCAGGGGTGGGTAGGTGGTGTTCCTCTCGCAGGGGCAGAAGGGCACTGGTGGCGGCGTGGTGGTCACTTCGTCCAAGGACATTGATAGCGGGGCGTCAGGGTGGCGAATATCGTACAGGAATACTCGCCGACCAAGCACCAAACTGTGAGATTTCCGGACTCAACCCGACTAAAATTTCGCTTGAACTATGAGTTTCCCTGACTCGTAAAAAAACAGACTCACCATGCGTCACGTTCTCCAGGGGTGGATAGGTAGTGTTTCTTTCGCAGGGGCAGAAGGGCACTGGTGGCGGCGGCGTGGTGGTCACTTCGTCCGAGGACATTGATAGCGGGGCGTCAGGGTGGCGAATATCGTACAGGAATACTCGCCGACCAAGCACCAAACTGTGAGATTTCCTGACTCGATCCGACTAAATACTAAACTGAGTTATCCTGACTCAATCCGACTAAACTGTGAGTTTTCCTGACTCGTTAAAAATACAGACTCACCATGCGTCACGTTCTCCAGGGGTGGGTAGGTGGTGTTCCTCTCGCAGGGGCAGAAGGGCACTGGTGGCGGCGGCGTGGTGGTCACTTCGTCCAAGGACATTGATAAGGGGGCGTCAGGGTGGCGGATGTCGTACAGGAACTCCGGTATAATGGGCACTGTAACACAAATAAATAGATAAATAGTTGAGGTAAAGCTAAACAAAAACGACCTCCTTAGTATAATGTGGCACAAAATTAATCATCATGCAATTTAGTTATATTTTGTCTTAATTACTAAACAAAAAAAAATGTACAAAAAAACTTCTTTTCTTAAATAACGGAACATTAGGCGGTGCATAAGGCATAGGGGAATGGAGCAGCGCACGCATCACACACACACACACACATATATATATATATATATAATATGGCATAATTTAATATGGCAAAGAGCAATAGACGATATTGTGCTGTTTTTGGTTGCTTGAACTCTTCAATAATTAAACTTTTTATACGAATGCCTATTTATTGTACTATTTAATTTTAATAATAATGCTTTTCATACGTCTCAGTCGAGGCGTTAATATTTTTCTGTCTCAAATCTATATTTTTTTTTATTAAATATTACGCTTAAAATAACATGTATTTTATAGAAACTCAATTAAGTAGATGAAATTAAAATACTGTAGGCTGGCAGCCCTACCGCGTGGATACGCCCCGCTAGGCCGTAGGCAGTTATTTCAAGGACATGGCCGAGTCACAATACTGTATAGATAATATTACCGTGGCCGAACGGACCCGGACACCTGGCTCCCGCAAGTCTTACGGACGCCCCAACGGCTGCCCACCGAGGACCCCGCAACCTACGCAACAACTTACGGGCGCTTTACGGCATAATATCCGTTAAAAAAGTCCTGCGAATACCTTCTACACTGCCTAATGCGAAGCCGCGGGGTCCCCGTTTAGGGATTCTTCCACGACATGCAAGCCTACCTGCTTACTTTGGGTCTTAGCTTCGGTGTGGTTATTAGAATTATTTTTTTCTTTATGAATATGTCGCCGGGGTAAGATAAAACTAAAATGGCAGGAATTTGTCCGTGGTGTTAATATACCTTTTTTTTGACGCAGGCAAAACCTCTATTTACAGACGACGGCGCCTTTAAGAGGCACACCGCTGAACAGACCTCACACCTGGCTCCCGCAAGCCTTACGGGCCCCCGCGCCCCGCAGTGCTGCCCACTGAGGACCTCGTAACTTTTACGGGCGTTTTACGGCATAATATCCGCTAAAAACCCTGCGAATACCCTCTGCTGCTGTGGGATCCCCGTTTAGGGATTCTGTCGCGCCTCTGCACCTAACAGCCTCCCGGCCTAGCCGGGGCTCCACGGTAGGGGTCTCCGGGGTATTGCGGGAAACCCGCAGACGTGCGCAGGAAGGCCCATCGATGTGGAAGCTATACACAATATTTTTCCGATTCGCCTTAAGCCAGTTTATTTCATTTTACATTGCCTTTCAAGCATATAACTTCAAACAGATGGGAACAAATTGATTCACAAAATGGAGGCCTAACTACTATCCATTCTATAATATAATTATACAAGGTCTAAGTCCCGCTTTAAACAGCCTTTCAACAGCTAAGTGGCCTTAAACACTGGCTTCGCGACAACGCAAACGCAAACTTAACTACAAGGTTATAAAGTTTATATTTCTGATTCAGTAGTGTTTTTGCGAAATTATAAAGACTGGTGACCCTCGCGCGTCCGCCAGGCAGCTGACTCGTCGCACTTACCCGCATGCCCAGCCAACCGTGAAGATAAAATCCAATTGTCAACGCTGCGGAAGAAAGCGCGCGAAAATATGGCGGGAAAATGGACACTTCACATTAAATTAATTCGCATTTATTAAATTTAAACGCGAATATTCTATGAAAGATGGCTGTTTATTTCAAATATAATTTATTTAGACTACTACGTAGGAGTATTCGTGCCCGAAACGAATCCTTAACGTTCCTTTTCCCCGTAAAAACAATAAAGATATTTTAAAAATTTCATTAAACTTAAGTACAGAAGCTTAATGTTAGTATAGATTCGTATTTCATTTAATTAAGTTCTCCCTCTCTCTTATTTTCTTTAATTTAATAAGGCATGTTTAGTTTACGAGGCTTGTACCTTGAAGATACAGTAGGCTGTATCATTTCTGTTATATTAACAGAAAATCTTTAAAAAAGTCTACAGAAAACATGATTTTACCGTTTAGTTTATTTATTCATTTATTGCTGAACCATATTGTGTTATTTCTATATTGTTTTATTCTGCCTTTTGTAATATTTTTTCCAAACTAAGCTTCAGAATTATGATACGGAATATAAAATATTTTAACAAAACCCCTATTGCATTCATGTGAATGTAGGTACGTTTTAAACAAAATTTTATTTCGAACAAATATATACAGAATGGGTTTGTTGTGTTGGTGCTTGTTAAAAACCTTAATTAACATTTTGAATATGATTTTAGAAAAAAATCAGTGCCTATAAATAAAAATATGAATGGATATAAAAATAGAAAACTGTATTTTCCAATAACCCTTTTCCATCATCGCTTCTTTTTTATAGCAGAAATATAATTAAAATCAATATGGCGTCGTCGATGCTGTGGCGGTGCTCGCGCCAAAATTGATTGAACATGGCGGCCACTCAACATCGAGGGCGGGTGAATATGACAGCCTATTCAACGTGGTGCCGCCGGCGAGAAATCCGTTCGCATCCTAAATGGTTAATTAATTTACATTCATCGCTGAATGGAGACGCGGTCGCGAGGCGCTTAAGTTTTCGAATTCATCTGAATTTTAGTTTTCCTTAACTTAGAAAAGCACTTTTAAGACAAGAAAACTTTTTCTTTTTATAGGTTAGGAAAACGTAAGTCCTTCAATGCCTAGTTGTGGACAAGGCTTGAATAAGTAGTACTTCTCTGGCATAATGTGCTAAAATTAAAACTTAAAAGCTACTAAGTAACCTACCTTCTTTTCAGAATTAATGCAACAACACTCATTCAGGGACTTTTTGGCGGGATCGGGAAGCGTAACTTTAGCAGTTTTGTTTTTCTTGTTAAAAAATGTGTTTTGGCGGATGTTAGTGTCTAATGATGGTGGATGATTAACCACTAAGTATTTGGGAACATTGTACAAGTGTTGACAAGTAAAACAAAATAGCGGAAACTGTCTTTCGACGATTCCTCAAGAAGTTCACGGGGAGGTTCCAGTAAATTCACCACCACACTTTTACTGAAACATAGAGAAAGGGGGATTGACTTGACTGCCACTTACTTTGACTTGATTTATTACTTTGACCACGAGTGCTATAGTATTTGTAAACATTTTAACACTTGACATTGGCTAAATGCACAAACCGCGCGAAGCCATTAAGAGAGAAAAAAAATAACACTCATTCGTTTTTGTTTTCAATAAACAGCTTTGTATTTGCAAGTCAGTTCGAAATGTGAATAAAGATCGTTTCATTTTTAAATTACACGACAGATACGAGTTTACTATGTAGGTAATTTATTTGGCCGATAAAACACGATAGATATGGATTTTCATATAACTTTTGCCGGCTGCTGCTCGCATAAATGTGGCCAGTACAGCGGTGTTATTCTGTAAATTTTCACGTTTCCCATATAGATTCGCGGCACTGGGCAGCTAAGCACTGAGTAGACACTGCACCCATAAGATCCCCGCCCCCCACGACAACGGCGAACTAGAGCCTAGGTCTGAGTCTCAAAGACGCCCTAGCCGACCCCCTCAGGTTCGAGTGGTCTAGAGGCTCCAGACGGAGAAGAGACTCCTCGTGTGGGGAGATGCCATCCGCCTGGAAGGGACCCGCCAATTTTCAGTTTTAGGTCCCGTTAGGATCTCGCCGTCCCCAAACCCGGTGACACTGTAAAGGTAATCTGCGACCAACAGCATAAACACTCAAAGAAAAAAGAAAACAAAATAAGTAGCGATTATGTATTCGTTCACATTAATACCACTCGACTGTGCATATTTTGTCCATCAGAAAAAAAGTAAGGTCTGGCGGCGCTGAGATCTTGAACTAGTATACATCTATACTAATATTATAAAAAGGAAAGGTTTGTATGTAAGTATGTTTGTAACGAATTGGCTCAAAAAGTACTGAACTGATTTTAAAAATTCTTTCACCATTTGAATGCTACATTATCACTGATCAATATAGGCTATAGTGTATTTTCAAAAAATTTAGGGTTCCGTATGAAAACTTCGATAATGTAACCCAACGTGTTAAAAAAATACCAAAAAATAGCCTTATATCACGTACGCTACGGAAGTCATTGATAATAGAGCAAAGTGATGTACTAAAGTTTTATAGAGGATACCAATATCTACAAAAAAGTCCGTATACCATATGTCTAACTATTACAGTTATGTCACAATTAGAGGTCTCCTGCGGTTTTACCCGTGTTAATTTGAAGAAAATGGTTTATAGTAAGTCAACCTGAAAACATGGACATAGGCTGTCGGGGACTTTATTACAGGACTTTTAAAGCGAAAGAATTTCGTCATACATGGTTTTTGTGTAACTTTTACCGTTTACCCAGCGCACGCAACGGAATCTCACAAATGGAATATTTTTACCCGTTTTTGCAACATTCTTCATCGATGCTCCGCTGATACTGGTCGTAGCCTGGTAATATATATACTTGTAGCCTATCTTTAGCCTTTCTTGATAAATGCACTGTCCAATACAAAAATATTTTTTCAAATCGGAACAGCAGAGCAATGTTGCATTCTGTACAACAGGTCCTAAACTACGCAACGAATTTTTTACTTAGAATGGAAGGTTTATAATTATTATGGTTACAGAAGGTTACAGAAGGTTTACCGATCTTTTATGGGTCAAGGTATACATTTTTATAATAAAATTCCTGATGCCATTCTTGAGTTACCCATAAATGAGTTCAAGTGTCACATTAAAAATTGTTTACTTAAGAAAGGCTATTATACTATTAAAGAATACTTAAATGACAAAACTGCATGGCTGTAACTGTAAATTTCTTTTGTATTTGTTTGCAGTGTCGTACAGATAAATTACCTGAATTCTAAGTAACTATTATGCTCTCTTAAAAATCTCTTCGGCGGTGTCGTGTGAGGCGGGTCGTTGCGTT